TAAAGACCTTTGGAGTTTCTGAAATTCTGTGAACCACATAAGGAAAAGAAGGCAACCAGAGGGCCTCATTCTGAGAATTGTCTGAGAGCCCTGAGAAGCTTGGCTTGTAGACACATCACTCCAGTGTTTGTTTCCTTTGTCACAGGGCATTCTCAAATAAGGCCACATTCACAGGTTAAGGCTGGGGGTTAAGACTTGAACGTATCTTTTTGGGGGACACAGTTCAACCCACACCAGCTAATAAAGTGCTGGCATTATGGTTCTGAACCACTCCCTAGTCATCTGCAGAGTGGGTGTTCATGCCCCAGGAACCGATAAAAATGGCCCACCGAGAGTGTTAAGAAAATGTTTATTCTTAAATTTTCTCTTTTAAAAATTTCTATTTGTTTTGTTATGCTCATAATATATTTACAATAGTCCATGAATATATTCTATAAAGATATATATATTCAGTTCGTACTCAAAAATGGTAAACTGATCAAAGTATTAAAAAAAAATTAAGGGCCTGTTTCAAATTCCCCTCCCCTCCCCCCTTTTTAGACCGGTTAACCCTAGTTTTTTAACTTCCCTTTCTTGCAATCGCCTTGGCAGAAAAGCATCCACTGTGTGAGGTCTATAGTGGAGTATTCCAGCCTCCCCACCCCCCAGCATTTAGTTGAGAAAGGGTTTAGTTTGAAAAAGCATTTTTTTTTTCAAAAATCTGCCTGAGCCAGGGTGACAGGCAGCTATAGCCTTAAGAATAAGGCAATTTGACAAGCATTTGCTCCCTTCAATTTATATCTTTATGTATTTCAGTAGCTTGTGTCTAATCATCAGTTTTCTTTGAATACTTCATACACAGCCAGTGTTTAATACAATTTAGGTCTGAAGACACACTGTTAAGAATCTGAACAATTTGATATCACTTGCCGAAGGGAAGGGAGACATAGACTTGGGCTTTTCCGAAAAGCAGCTGTTCAGGAGGGGAGAGCCGTGACAAACCAATGCCTGGGTCACGATTACCCGTCCATTCCTTGGACTTCAATGCTATAGCTTCCCATTGATGTTTGATACGATCGCAAGGTCCTCCCTCCTCCCCGGAATACACAAGTACATACACTTCCTGGAATTGATTTGGGATCTTGAGAGAGAGAGAGAGAGAGAGAGAGAGAGAGAGAGAGAGAGAGAGAGAAGGAGAGAGAGAGAGGGAGAGGCTGATATTCTCATAGGTAAACAAATCTCAAAAAGACTGAGAAGGTACACTTGAAAATCCATTTTATATGTATATATTAAATATGGGGGAAGTCAATGGAAACAAGGAAAAAAATGTATAAATTTGGGAAGATACTCAGATATCCATGAGAAAGCATGGCTTAAAAGAACAAAGGAGAAGAATAACATTCAATGAGTCCTGTCCTTTTCCAAGAGAGTTAAACAGTAAGGGTCTTTTTGCTAGTTGATGGTTGAACTCTTAGGATATTTGGCATAAGTGTGTATTGATTGTGGAAGGACTGATCCCCATCTCATGGGTTATTTGAGCTCCTGTGTGGACCGAAGTGTATTTTTGGTCATAATTTATCCCACCTGTGTCTGTCAATTCCTTTCCACTTGCCTCCTCTCATGATGGTCTGGCTCATGTTTCTCCATAAAGCTCTAAGCCAGTTATTAATAACATCCCAGTGACTCTCCTGATCCACCTAGGAGCATATGGTGTTTTTCACAGACAAGAGAGATCATCTCCTTGACTTTGGACTTCACTTACTGAACCCCTGAACAGTAAGTTTTGGTTTTTGAAAATCGTGGCACTTTCGAATGTTGATGTAGGACGAAAATTTAGCGTGACCCTTGTTTGCTTCTAGTACAGGGAGAATTAGTAGGTTAAAACTTAGACTCATAATGCCAGTTCCTTCCCACTGCATTTCAACATCTCCAATTTTTATAAGGCTGATGATAAGATAGATTAATGAATGAGAATTCTATTCTTTCCATTTCCTCCTGACTAAATAAAGGCAGGAGGAGAAGCAAGGGTTTAATAATGTCAAAATTACTTGACCAAGCCTTGTGGCTGTGCTAGATATTCCCATTTCCCTGTGTTTCCTCTCCAAATACAGGGTTTTGTGATTTCAAAGAGAAATTTCACATATGGAAAGTATCTCCAGGAGAGTATTGGACAGGGAACTTGGGCCTTTTCGTTGTTGCCTGTCTGAGATTTGGATCAGAGGAGGGACCTGTCTTAGCCTGTGGATTTATTGTCTTCTTGTTATTTTAGCCAAAGCTTTGTCTTTGCAGCCTTTTTATAATGGTTGCTTCTGAGAACCTTGCAAAGTCGGTCACTGTGTTTCCTTTCTGGAAAGGAGGACCCTGACACCCAGAAAGGCCAATGCCCAGCTTGACCCTTGTGAGCTGAGATGAAACCTGACACTCCAGTCCTTCTTCAGGACTTTGGACTAATACGGCTTTCTGCTTTGGTTACGGATGTTCAATTCCTATGAACATATGCATCAGGCTTCTAAATAACATGTGTAAGGGAGGCATTGCAGTGAATTGGAAGGAGGCTGGTATCAAGCCCTGGCTTGGACCACTAGCAAGCTGTGTGATCTTATGCAAGTATTCAACCTCTCTGACCCTCACATTCCTTGTTTGTGAAATGAGAGGCATCACCCGTTTTACAGGATGGTGGGGTTTACTCCTAATGTATATAAGTGGCCAAGTATGGTAACATTATTTAAGAAGTCCCTCATTTGAATTTTTCCTGAATCTTCTTAATCACCTTTCATTTGTTTCAAATTCAAACCTAGAACCTCCGATGTGGTCCAGGATGGGAAACATTAATCTAAATTGTAGAGACAATACTTGGCTTTTACTGCTTTTAATAACTTCGTCTTTAGGATGGTGTAGGCTGTGTGAATGCTGAGGATGGGAGCATTGGAGGGTGGTTTATGGTTTGCAGTTCAGGACATTAGGCTACAGCTAAGATCAACAATGGTGGGGAACCCTGCAAAACAATTTCAAAGCATAAGCTATTGTTTTGGTAAACTTACCTGCTCTACTATAATCAGCATTCTAAAATTTTCCTTTTGGTTACATGCTTCTATGGTTCCCAAGGACTGGTTCACCGCCTTGCTGGATTCGACTCTGTGTCTGGATGACTCAGAAAGGAGGGGTTGTCTGAGAGCACGCCTGCTTCCCAAAGTGTCACCCCATAACTCAGAGATAGGGTGAGATTTTTGTTTTCCTCTACAATCTTTCATTCTGCAAACATTTATTTAATTCCTATTGTGTGCAAGATACAGTCTAACTTAGCAAAGGATCAATAAGCTCTAAATATAGAAAGTAGAAGTTATCGCATCATGCAAGTCAGAAGGGGCTTGTCCCATGATACATGAGAAGTAGAGACAGGGTGCTATTGACATTTCACAGGGCCTTCACACCCAAAACTTATTCACCAGAAATGGGCATCATTGGTCAGACTTCCCCTGGGAAGGCTATCCACTCTTGGAAAATGATTCAATGATTTTCAGGGCTCCTCCTTGGGTTCACCTTCTAAGTAAAGAGCTTGTGGGGCATAGAAGAACAGCACCTTAAAGTCACAGCTCATCTGCCCACCACATTTGTGTGTGTGTGTGTGTGTGTGTGTGTGTGTGTGTGTGTGTGTGTGTGTGTGTGTGTTGAGCACCTATTTTGTTCAAAGTCCTGTGCTAAATGCTGGAAATAGAATTCTGCCTTAAAAGAGGTCACAGACTTTCATTTAATTTGAAATGGTGTTCTGCAACCTAACCATCTGCCTTCTCAGCTAAACTTGTCTCTAGATAGCATTTAGCTGGTGTCAGGGATCAAAACCTCAATGGGTAAGAAAATCACCATCAGTGAGCCTACGCCAAGGAGTGTGTGTTGCAGGCCGAGAAGGTAGTTGAAAAGGTTTTGCCAAAGGCTTCTGAGAACTCAAACAGGTCCAGAGGTTCTCTATTCTCTTCCACTCACCAACCCCAAACTTAGGGTGACAATTGTTTGGACATATGAGTTCTGCAGATGTAAAACCAAAGCCTGAGGGTGTTTGCTGACACCCTCAGTGCCAGTGCTGCTTCCTCATACCGCAGAAGAAGGATCTGCTGTCTTGGGGCTTCCTGTTGAAACCTGGCAGGGCTGGTGCCCAGCCAGGGCTCTGGGCAGTTCCTCTGGCCTAGTAAGCACTACAGCCGTGATTCATGGAGAGGGTTGGGGAACTTGGCAGGGAGCAGGTTGAAAACATTTTGATTATTTTGGTTCCAGAGTATTTCTTAATGTTAAGTGCCCGTAACTGAGTAATTTATGTCTTGTTAGGGGCAGTGTCCAATCTCCTGTGTGGGGTAGGAATGTGCTAGCAGGTAATCTCAGCCTTCAGGAGTCTTGGTAGTGGATGATTAAGAGGACATGTTTGTTTGTGTGTAGGAATATTATTTTAGGGCCAAAATATTTACGTAAAACATTTGAGGCATGTTCATACCGTGTTTCTCTGAAAATAAGACCTAACCAGAAAATAAGCCCTAGCATGATTTTTCAGGATGCTCGTAATATAAGCCTTACCCCAAACATAAGCCCCAGTAAGATTGTCAGCCAGATGTGACTGTTTAAATAAATGTAGATTTTTGTACATGAATACATGAATAAATGTAGATTGTTGGAGCAAAAATTAATGTAAGACCCGGTCTTATTTTCGGGGAAACATGGTAGAGGCTTGGGAAGGCCCAAACTGGACAGATGCTGACATTGGAAGAAAGCATCGCAGGTACAGTTGAAGAGAAGTTTAGGGCCCCGCTGCTCCCCTGGGGGGTCAGGGTTACCTCTCATCTATCTGAGTCATCATGTACTTAAACAGAAGCTGGAAAGTATGATTCATTCAAAGGATACCATCTAGGTGGTGATATGCTAAATGATAATTAATGATACTAGTCAACATCATGTATTAAATTAAATGTTTATGTGCTAGACACAAGTATTATCTCATTTAATTCTTACACCACCCTAAGAAGTGGGTACTATTATCATCACCCCCATTTTAAAGAAGTACTGAGGCACAGAGAGTTACTGTAATTTGTCCAAGGTCTCATAGTAAGTGGCAGATCTGAGTCAAACACTGTCAGTCTGATTCTAGACCCATCTCTCAATCACCATATCCTAGAAACATTCTTGTTATTTCTCTGTCCAGCTACTGTTACGGAGGTCAAGGGGAGACACTTGTCAATCATAAGTTGATCAGTGGGTGGATAACAAATTAGTAATAACCAAGAATAAAATTGCAGATAGGAAAAGATAATAAAAAATAGATTAAAAAAAACAACACTGTACTTTGAGCTAACCTAGTTGCTTGACAGCAAGATCCTAGTGGTGGTTTGTGAGTGTTCCATTTACAAAGAGCAGATTGTTTTGATGTGAATAAATTAACAACTGCTGCTATATTCTAGCAAATTCAGTGTCACCAGGCCCAGAGGGATCACTGCAAGACTGTCCATCCCCCTGTTCAACCAGCTGTTCACATATGCAGAAACGAGCCAGGACCGAAAAGCGTGGCCATTAATAATGACGTGCGGCTATTTCCATTGTAGTACAGTCAGTTTCCACTGTAATACAGATCTCTTTAAAAGTGACTTTTTATTTGAAAACATTAATAAACCCATGTAGTTGAAAGAGGGTGGCATCTGGGGACTGGAGTCCTGAGTTAGTAGCATCTAGGCTCCAACATAGAATACCGACTAGCTGGGCAGTGGCTCCATCTCCCAATAGTGCATAACAGCCTGGCACATTCTAGACCCTCAATAAATGGCCATCATTATGCTCGTACTTTACTTATAAGACCGATTAAGCAAAAAATGGGCAGATTTCAATTACGTCTCATTTTTCAACATGTATCTCTAGGGAACCTCTGTCAATATTATCTTGACCATTAGATATTGATGGAAACAAGAAGTACTATTAGCACATTCTTGTCAAAAAAGAAAATATTTTGAAATGTGACTCATGTTTAAGACTTGAATACAGTGAAAAGTGTTTTTCTTTTGATTGTAAAAGAGACTTTGCAAAGTATGTTCTGTTCTTTGTCTTGACCAAGAATTCGTGCCTAATAAGTGGAAATAGTAGAAGTTGACAGAAACTGAGAAAATGGTAATGTCTTAGTATTAGCGATCATTTTATATACTAGAGGATTTTTGTTTGTTTGTTTTGCATTGTTCTGTTTTTGCTGGGGGACAAAGCCATTTAGCAAATGCACTCTTCTTATTGTCTCAGAAGTCAGAGTTGATTTGAGAAACCCCATTTCATATAGAAACACAATTGTAAAGATTTTAAAGGCAAGAACCTACAAGCTGAGGTCAGGGTGAAGAACAGAGAATACAATGAAGTTCAGCTCCCAGAGACCAAAGGATACTGCTACTCTCCATTTGTCTAACTTACTTTGTGGGATACTGCTGTTCAACATTCCATAAACAATGAACAGTCCAGTTTGAATTAGATTGTTTAGACTCTTGATTGAGTCAAAAGAAAAAATAAGATGAGTTTTGAATAATAAATTGATTTCCAGTGACTTCTGGAAAGAGGGAAAAGAAAGGTAGATACAGGCTTTCAAATAGGAGAGGAAATTATTTGTAATCATCTGAAATTTCAACATGAAATATATTTGGCCCAAAACAACCTAAGATATCTTATATATCAGAAACTGGAAGTGACGTCACTTTAGCTATGATTTTTTAAATACTACACATTCAACATAAAACCACGGTCTTGAGATAGTCACACTATATACGAGGTCTGACAATTAAGTTTACAAACTCATCCTAGAAAAAGTGTTACATACCTCATTGTTGAATATCACTACGGTCACCTTCAAAGTACTCCCTGGGAAGCTATGCACCAACGCCAGCGCCTAGTCCACTCTTCAAAGCAATTTTGGAACTCTTTTTCTGGAATTGACAGCAGATCTGTTGTATTACCCTTGATATCCTGAATGTCATCAAAATGTCTTCCTTTCAATATTCCCTTTATCTTCTGGTAAAGAAAGAAGTCACTGGGGGCCAGATCAGGTGAGTAGGGAGGGTGTTCCAATACAGTTATTTGTTTACTGGCTAAAAACTCTCTCACCGACTGTGCCGTGTGAGCTGGTGCATTGTCATGATGCAAGAGCCATNNNCTGGGGGCCAGATCAGGTGAGTAGGGAGGGTGTTCCAATACAGTTATTTGTTTACTGGCTAAAAACTCCCTCACAGACAGTGCCATGTGAGCTAGTGCATTGTCATGATGCAAGAGCCATTAATTGTTGGCAAAAAGTTCGGGTCGTCTAACTTTTTCCTGCAGCCTTTTCAGCACTTACAAATAGTAAACTTGGTTAACTGTTTGTGCAGTTGGTACAAATTCCTAATGAATAATCCCTCTGATATAAAAAAATGTTAGCAACAAGTTTGCAAACTTAATTGTCAGACTCCTATGTTCTAGCATACTTTTACAAGTGTCCTAACTAGCTTGAAATTTATTTATATTTTTGGTATATGTTTTATCCAACAAGGAATTTTTTTTAAAGTTGCTGCTGTTAAACAGTTTTCCCCCAAAGGAATGTCTCTGCAGTCCCAAATAAAAAAACACTTGCTAACCGAGCTTCTAGCTAATGCAAATCAATGTACTGTGATACTCACAATTTTAATCCACAGTAAAATCTGAGTTTGTTTGTAAACCTGTGACGATACAATTTGAGTCCTTCCAGTGATTTAGATCTACAAGCAGATATAACATCAAGTACCACACAAGAATCACCCCCATCCCTGTTTGTCATGCACATTTTGAGTAAGACAAGAACATGTTCTTTAGCAAAAGAGTAAATTTACTGCAAAAGACCAGTCTATAATCATTTGCGCAATGATTGGTTTGACAAAAATAAAATCAGTATATATTACTTTTAATATGGGGAGGAGGAAGAAGACTAACAACTATGGGACTACTTTCTTTAGTTTTCTAAAATTCATGAGCACCATGCTTTTAAATTAAAATGTGAAAAATGGAAAAAGCAAGGAAAAGAAAATCACACATCATCCTTCCATCCAAACTCGACCACTATGAGCACTGTTGACATTTGTAGGTGTTTCTGTTTTCTTTAATATTTCAAATGTGAAGTCTAACATACACACAGAAAAGCACATAAAACTTCTATTTACAGCTTAACAAGTCATTACAAAGTGATTGCCAACGTAACCACACCCAGGACAAGAAACGAAACATTGCTGGAAGCTCCCATCCCTGCTTACTCCTCCCTTACCCTCACTAATGTCACCACCATCCTGATTTTATGTGAGCCAATCCCTTGCTTCTCTTGATGAATTTACCATGACACAGTTGCCACCCATACACTCATATATGTACCCCTAAGCGCACTTACATATTACAAAAATGTTTAATTAGAGTTGACATACAATATTATATTAGCTTCAGGTACACAACATAGTAATTCAACATTTATATACCTTATGAAGTGATCACAAGAAATCTACTAGTAACCCTGTGTGTAGTCTGCCATGACCTGAGATTAAGTCATGTAAAAAATGGGTTTCTAATTCACCCTTCAGTCCCCACAAGTTGTCTGGTCTTTTCCTTACTTTCTCTCATGGTACATAGTTATGATGGTATCAGTGACTAAATTCCCTCTGCTGTACATTATGTCCCTGTGACTTATTTTATGACTGGAAGTTTGTACTTCTGAAACCCCTTCTCCTTTCCACTCCATCTCTTCACACCCCTCCCCTCTGGCAACCAACAGTTTGTTCTCTATATCTATGAGTTTCTTTCTTAAACATGCACTTTTAACTCTGTTTTTCTACTTTACATACCTACACTTACACTGTGTTTTCTTTTGCTCCTTGCTTTTAAAAATTGAATATTATGTTTGTAAAATTCACCTCTTTTTGTATGTACTGTAGCTTAATTTTCATTACTGTATAGTATTCCATTGTTTGAATTTACCTATCTATCTACTAATGGGCATTTGGGTTGTTTCTAAGTTGGGGATATCACGAATAGTGATGGATATGTGTCCTGGTGTGGATATCTATGCATTTATTCAGAGTATATACTTAGGAGTACAACAGGTGGTCATAAAATATGGATTTTGATCATATTTAAATATTTTTTAACAATTTTCTAAGTAGTGTTTTTATTATTTTATAGTTGTAATAATCATCATTTTATTGGATACATAATCTTCCATTTGTGGCTGAATTTTATAGCCTGGTCTTTTGTAATGAGTTCTCTCCTCTAGAGATTTTCTAATTTCTTCATAAAAGTGATAAAAAAAAAACCCATAGAATTTATAGCTGATGTGCAATCTCATGAATTATGTTGCCTTTCTCAGACAGAGAAATTTTCTTTGTTGTCATGGTAGATATTGATGCAAATATATTTAAAATAATTTGGGGGGAATTTTTAATTGTTATATTTGACATATAATGTTATATAAGTTTAAACAGTACAACATTGATTTGATACATTTATATTGCAATATGATGGCCATAATAGCGTTACCTACCACCTCTATTTGTATTTTCATAATTATCATTTCTTCTAGTTGTTGGGAACAATAAAAATCTAGTCTCTTAGTGAGTTTCATGTTTATAATAGTTTTATTGTCTATAATCACTGACTATGTATTAGGTCTCCAGGACTTATCTACTAGTTAATAGGTATGTGCCCTTAAATAACATCACTCCCATTTCTTCCACTGGAGAATTGTTGTTTTAAAAGTGTGGTGAATGTTTGCACTGGCAGGAAAATCCTAGAATTCAGTTTAACCCTGCCAGTTCTTAGCTATACAATTTTTCCAAGGTCCACTCTTTACATCTCCGTCCTGACTTCTTTGAGAGTAATTGTAGAGTTTCTCCATGCAAGCTCCCTGCACCTCAACTTCACACTACCTCAACTATCCAGTAAAACCTTTTAATGTGCTTTGACCCAGGAACCAAGGTTGTTGCTAAGAGACCGCTGGTGCTGAATGCACTTTGTTCTAGCAAGACCAGACAGGAAGAAAACCAAGGTGTTATCTGCCCCGATTTGGGATTAAGTCAGGTAAGAAATGGGTTTCTATTCAGCCTTCAATCCCCACCAGTTGTCTGGTCTTTTCCTCACTTCCAATCTCAGTCTCTCCCTTCCTGTTGGAGAAAATTGAAGGTACCCCTCAGAACACAAACAGAAGAACACAAACATAAGGTGGAGGCTGAGGTTATGAGAGAGAAAGAAAGTCACTTTGCAAACCCGTGTATTATCCTTAGCCCTTGTTTCTGTAACATAAGCAAAAGGGATTGCTGAGTGCAGGGGGAAATTCTAGATGTTTACTTAGCTAATGATTGCTGTGTAATTTGGGGCACATCATTCCCTCTTTCAGGAACGGGCTAGTTGTTACAGAAATTAATCAAAATTGCTAAATGTGGTAGAAAATGACACTTGTATAAATCTCACCTACCTTCCCCTCTGTTTTTTTCCTCTCTTAAAACTCAAGCTGCCTTTATGGTTTTTGAGTGAAAATAGCAGGAAATATTTTCCTGCCACTTTTTAAAAGTATTGATGCTCATTACTTTTAATTTGAGTTGAGTATATATAAGTTGAGTATATATAAGGAACTTTGATGTAACCAGTTGAAAATTATTTGACTTATTTGACCTTGCATTCCTGAAAAAAGAGTTAAGAATGGCTCTAAATGCCCTACCTGACTAGCATTTGGTAAAATGTTCCAACAGTGTGCTAAATCAACCACAAATTAATACTTTTAAAAATTCCATAATGTGTTTTAAAATTCTAGCTATTTTTAAAGTTGTTTGATTAACATAGAGATGTGGAGGAAATTAAATGATTGATGTCTTATTAAGTGACCAGAACATGAGAGAGAGGATCATGAGGAAAGATCAAGAAAATGAAAAAGATCTTTTGTTGTTTAATTTACAAAAATGTTTTCACCTGCCTTTTTCCATATTTTCAGATCCCCATTTCCTGGTGATACCTACTGTACAGGTTAAAAGAATGGCAATTTCACTGATGTCATTGTAAAATAATGTAAATTACTTAGCAGATAAGACTTGAAATGACTTAGCAGATAAGACTTCATAAATACTGATAACATGAAAAGAGAATAGTTATTCTGATAGTTCCTTAAGCTATTTCTTTTTTCAAAAAGCTTTCCAATTACAGTTGACATAAGATACTATGTTAGTTTCAGTTGTATAACATAGTGATTAGACATTTATATACCTTGCGAAGCAGTAGAGCTATTTCTTTTAGAAAGAAAGGCAATTTTGGCATATAAAAAATTTGATTATGACATAAAGTGTACACAATGAATGGGTGAAAAATATTTTAATTCATTAGGGAGAAAAACATTTTAGTTCATTGATTGTGTACAAATATATAGAGTTCTGCCTGCAAGATGTTTCTTCAACTCTATTTCTCTACAGTGCAAATATCATATTGAGTTTGAAGAGTCAGAATTATAAATATGTTCATTTGAGGATATTTCTCTCTTTTTTCCCCCAGCGAGCAGGAGCCTTCGGGATATGACCTGTAAAAACTGGATATTAATTTCTACTACTACCCCCACAAGTCTGGAAGATGAAATTGTGGGAAGACTTCTAAAAATTTTGTTTGTTATCTTTGTTGACTTAATGTCTATCATATACGTTGTTGTAACTTCTTAGAAAGCTGGCTTCCCTTACTTTACAAGTAAATTTCATATTGAATTCCTGTGACTAAAAATGTGTAGTTTAATATGTTGAGTGGTTTTAATTTGATGACATCTCCAATTATTCCAGAAGCCAACAGAATGTTATAATAAAAACAATATTGTGTATTGCTCAGTACTTGATGGTTTAAAAAACATTCACATAAACTGATGTGGAATTTTTTTCCTCCCAAAGTCTGCACTACTGAGTCATAAAACTTCTCAATTTTTAACATGATTGTTATTTGGTAGGTTGACTAAAAGTTATAGGTGCGATTATGAATGAAGTTGATTTTTTTAAGGATGCATACATATGTGAAATTCTAAATAGTTCTAGTTTTTAACACACCAAGCTTAACATACAATAATCTCTTCATTTATACTGATTTTCTTATAAACACATTTCATCTGTGTGTAGGTAGCAGTATGTCATTTAACGTAAGGTTCACAATAATCTTAGGTGTTTGTTATCCCCATTTTACAAATGAAGAAACTGAATCTTGGAAGAATTATGCTAGCTTGAGACCATAACCAGGAAGTAGCAGACCAGGTTTTGGGCCTTCACAATCCATGATATTATGTCACTTCCAAAGGTAGATAATAATACAAGGTCTGACACTTAAGTTCACATCCTCATGCTAGAAAAGCTGCTACATACCTCATTGCTGAATATCATCAGTACAGCCACCTTCTCCTTGGGAAGCTATGCACCGATGCCAGCACCTAGTCCACTCTTCAAAGCAATTTTGGGGCTCTTTTTCTGGAATGGCCATCAGAACTGTTGTTGTATTACCCTTGATGTCCTGAATGTCATCAAAATGTCTTCCTTTCAATATTTCCTTTATATTCTGGTAAAAAAATGAGTCATTGGGGGCCAGATCAGGTGAGTAGGGAGGGTGTTTCAATACAGTTATTTGTTTACTGGCTAAAAGCTCCCTCAACACACAGTGCCGTGTGAGCTGGTGCATTGTCATGATGCAAGAGCCATGAATTGTTGGCGAAAAGTTCAGGTCATCTAACTTTTTCAAGCAGCCTTTTAAGCACTTCCAAATAGTAAACCTGGTTAACTGTTTGTGCAGTTGGTACAAATTCATAATGAATAATCCCTCTGATATAAAAAAAAGTTAGCAACATCATTGCAACATGTTCAAGAACTTGTTAGAACTCATAAGACAAGTGTGGTTAAAAACCAATCTGTAAAGATTAACTTTTTTCACAAAGTTTTATTCAAGACCCTGAGGTTGTATTTTAGTACATTAACCCCCTTTATCCGTGGAGTATATGTTCCAAGACCCTCAGTGGATGCCTGAAACCTAGGATAGTACCAAACTTGATATATAGTGTTTTTTTTTTCTGTATATGCACACCCATGATAAAGTTGAATTTATAAATTACATACAGTAAGAGATTAACAACAATAACTTATAATAAAATAGAATGACTATAACAACATACTGTGACAAGAATTATGTGAATATGGTCCATCTCTCAAAATATTATACTGTACTCATCTTTTCACTAAAAGGAAGCACCTTACAGCTTCTCTTTGACGTATCCAAAATTGCCAGCATCACTACCCTTGCGCTTTGGGGTCATTATTAAATAAAATAAAGGTTCCTTAAACACAAGCACTGCAATACTGCAGCAGTTGATCTGATAACCAAGATAGCTACTAGTGACCAACGGGCACTGGCAGCGTCTACAGCGTGGATACAACTAGACAAAGGGCTGATTCACATCCCATGCAGGACCACTTGAGATTTTATCACGCTGCTCATAATGGTGCACAATTTAAAACTTATGAATTGTTTATTTTTGGAATTTTCCATTTAATATTTTTGGATCTTGATAGACTGTGGGTAACTGAAAGAGCAGAAAGTGAAACTATGCATAAGAAGGGGGACTACTGTGTTGCCTCTGTTTATTTTCTTATTCCACATTTTTAAATATAATAAGGGAGATTGTTTATCTTTTTCACATACCCAATATGACAATGCATTGTCTTCCTGTTTTCTTGATTCCTCATTTTCTGACAGTGTTTAAAATATAACTGTTGAACTTCTGCTTTCTGAGCTTGTGAAAAATAAAGCCTCTTTGTCCTTTAGACAATTTTGACTTTTTACATTGGATACACATGTTTCACAAAGTTCTGATTACTTCTGTGTGAGGACCATCTTCTCCGATTTTGCCCAATCATTAATGTGAGGTTTCATAAGAGACCTAATGAAGTGTGAAAGGAATCTCGGACCTTTGAGACTCATTAGTTAACTGACTCTTACTTAACCTTTCAGCGGTGTATATTTAACCATAAGCCAAATAGAGTCAAATTATTTGAGCATTTGTTGTAACAGAAAATTCTCTTTTTTTTACCCCTACACCATATTGTCGGACACTTCCTTTTGAATATAAGGGTCACTTCCTATTGATGTGATGTATTTCTCCCAAAGTCCCTATATTTGGAATTTGTTGGAGCCTATTAGGTTGCTGATAAGGGAGTAAAGTCAATCCCATCTTCAGGCAATTATTTCTTTTCTCTGTGATTCCAGGCAGTGGACACTGCCTATGGTTAGAAGCGTCGACTCTGACGCCTGGGTCCAAACCTTGGCTTCACCTCTGACAGCTTAATAACCCTATGTCTCTGCCTCCTTACCTATAAAATAAGTGCCTGTGTTATAGGTTTGTAGAGATGATAAAATGAGATGACTGGTGTAAAGTACTTAGCACAATTCTTGGCATTTGGAAAACCCACAGTCCATGAGGTTGGTGTTATCAGCATCTTCAGGTAGGACAGAGGTGATGTGGCTCCCTTCTTGTTGAGTGTCAGCGAGCCTCAATCAACCTGCTTGTTCTACTTCCCCCTCACCCTTAGGATAGCCTCACATTAATCCATCCCATTTCGTTTGGCCCCAAAATGTGATTGTGTTCCACTGGACCCTGGCATGGTTCTGGGGGAGGTGTAGGTCTGTCTATATGGGCTGACTCTGCAGAGCTTTTTTTTTTTTTTTAAGATTTTTTTTTTTTTTAGGGCCGGCCGAGTGGCTCAGTTGGTTAAGAGCTTGCTCAAGAGTTTGAGCTCTGAGCAACAGCGGTTCGAGTCCAGCCCGAGCTGAGCAGCCGCTGAGCTGCCAATAGGTAGCAGGATGGCTCAGCTAAAGAAAAAAAAAAAAAGATTTTTTTTTTATTGGGGAATTGGGGGGATGGGAACAGTGCTGGGGAATTGGGGGAAGGGGAACAGACAAGTTGCTGTCGTTTTGTTCTTTAATCTACTTGTGGAGGATGTTGCATCACTGGCCCAAGTTGGCACCATCATTGCGCTCTTCTCTGGCGAGGCAGATCAGTTGCCGGCTTCTGGATGGCCGCTCACTGCGGCTGCTGGCCGCTCACGCTGGCTGCTAGCTACATACGGTAGCCCATGGCAACCCACTGCCACAGGGACTGCAGCCTATGCCATTGCCGGCGACTCATGGCAGCCCAGCTCCAGGTTGAGCTGTTGTTCAGCATCTTAGCTGTGGAGGGCAGTGTCACTGGCCCTCATATGTGGGATCCGAACCAGGGCCTCTGGCATCCCAAGCCAGCTCTTAACCATCGCGCCACTCGGCCGGCCCCATGCAGAGCTTTTTTTAGTGCTGTTGTTTTGGGACCTGGCAATGACAACTAGATAGCATAATGTGACTAGAAACAACAAAGGATACTTGATAAATATCCTTTTCAATAAGTAATGAGAGTCTTAATATTCAAGCATTGTGGCTTTGTGATTGGAAATACGTTGCTTTTCCTTCATTCTTCAAAAATATTCATTCAGTTCCTTTTCGCCAGGCATGGTGCTGGGCATCCATGTAAAAGGAGTGAAAAAAACATAGTTCCCGCTCTCATGGAGTTTATAGTCTAGTGGAGGGAAATGAAGGAATACCCAAACGATGCAACTGCAATTGGGGGAAGTATTGGGAAGGACATGCCGAGGTGTTAGGAAGGATAGGGAGAAGGGTACCAATAGCAGTCACTCCTGGGAGCTTGTTGAACATGCAGAATCCTAGTTCCCCCAGACCTACTGAATTCAGAAACTGCATTGTAAGCAGATTCCCAGAGATTCATGTGCACACTATAATTTGAGAAACGCTGATGTGGAGGGAAGCTCACTGGACTAAGTGTTCCTACTGTCTGGCTACTGAACAGTTATGTGACCTCCGGGCAAGTTGCTTAACCTCTCTGGGGCTCGTAGTTCTTTGTCAAAACAAAGTAGAACCAAGAAAAGAGCTAAAATGACATAGATACTACCTGCTTTGCATATTACATTGAAATACGGTGACCTGGACTGAAACTTACTTGAAAATGTATAACAGAAAGGAGTTATATAAATCTAAGACATTGTTATAAATATCAAGAACACAGCAGTAGCTCTGTGAGGTAAGGGGCCTGGAACTACCTTCAGCAGAATTGGAAAAGGATTGTTTTCATTAATGGCAACAATATTCAGAGCATGTATGTATGTAGACAGCCTGGGTTAGGTCACACATTTTTCACTGGGTGGCTTCCTGTGAAATTGCATAGAACTTAATATCCCCATGCACTGTTATAACCAACCCTGCACCTGAAATGGATGGTGTTTCTTGACTTGCCACTAATAGATACGAATTATCTAGCCATGCCTGAGCTCAGGTATCTACATGGGGTTAATTTCACAATTAATTTCTTGGTATCAACTCAACTGGCCTTGCATTCTTCCCAGTTCTGTGGTTCCTTAAAGAGATTTTTCTGACTTTGAGAAGAGAGGTCAGAAAATGCCTGTTAGAATCCTTATTATTTATAAATGGTAATACCTCTCATTGGAGCACACTGTGCTAAGTATTTTTCATACATTATGTCATTTAATTTGTACTAATAAATCTATGCTGTATTTCTATTTTACAGATGAGGAAGTGCAGACTCAGAGGAATTAAGTAGAATGCTCAAGTTCACACAGGACATGCTGACTGTGATAACACAGAAAGTGAGAGAACCGAGAGCCTCAACTCAAAATCATCTATAACCCTATTCTTAACTATTCAGTTATTCTGCCTAATATCAAGCCAGAGAAGTGAATTTTCACTGGCTCCTCATTTGGAAGGCAAAAAGTTTGCACTACAATGAAGCATCTTTAAAGATATTTTTTTTTAATTGGGGAATCAGGGAAGAGGAACAGACAAGTTGTTGTCCTTTTGTTCTTCAGTCTAGTTGTGGAGGACGTCGCTTCACTGGCCCATGTTGGTATTATCATTGCGCTCTTCCCAGCTGAGGCAGATTGGTCACCAGCCATTGGACAGCTGCTCACAGTAGCTCATGGCAGCCCACTGCAGCAGGGGCTACAGCCTCTGCTGTCGCCAGCCACTCACAGCAGCCCAGCTCCAAGTCGAGCTGTTGTTCACCATCTTAGCTGTAGAGAGCACAGCATCACTGGCCCTCATGTGGGATCACAACCGGCAGCTCTGCTGCTCAGAGCTCACACTCCCAAGCCAACTCTTAACCAACGAGCCACTCGGCCGGCCCCAATGAAGTATCTTAATCCTACACTCAGGGATTCAGTGAGTAAAATTAAACCTAACTCTGGGCAATGATCGGGATGAACTGCTTCTGTAGAGACTGAGGTCGAGGTATGAGAGATCTGAAATGCATGGTGTTTG